CGAAGCAGCGGTGCCCGCTCACAAGGCTCCGGAAGCGGCGGTGGAACTAGCCTCCGTTCTTTTCAAGGCGGCAGCACCACAAGCACCGCTGTGGGGGCCGCTGGTTCTGCCCTGGGTGCCCATTCCACCGGCTCTGCCCCAGTCCTCAGGTCCCCCGCTACCACAAGGACCTGGGCCATCCCTCCCCCTACTCCATCCCCGCTCGGCCGTTCCCCTGGGTGGGCGCTCTGGAACGTCTGGAAGCCGTTCCTTAGAGGAGGGGTCCTGTCAGGGTCTGGCGTCTGGTGTTCTCCCTCTCACCACCAGAGGTCGCCACTTCCCATCCTCCCGGTCTCCGTTACCTTGACTCCACACACCTGTGCACACACTCACTCACGCACAGCTGTTGCCCATCCTGAGGGCTATTTATACGCCTTCCCCACGCCTCTCTGGGCGGATTATTAATAATTGTTTGTGATTGTTACTGGTTGTAGTTGTTGTACGAACTGTGATGTGTGGACTGATGCAAGCTCTACGTGGCCGTATTGCATCAGATTCCCTTCCTTGTCGCAAGCCTGTGTCTCAGAGTCTTAGCTCTGTTTGTTTTCTGTTTTGGTTTTGATTTTGTTTTTCCCTGCAGTCGAATAAAACCTGCACTTGGACCCAGACCCTTGTTTACACGGTGTTTTTCCTAACCGCACCGTGACATATATCTGATTTAAAACTACATTTGAAAGTGGCTCAGAATGGATGCAAATTTTTGTGTTTATACATGTGTGATATCAATATCTGATCTATGTCAGATGTGAGTTAATAAAAAAATTGGATTTGTGCAAGTGTAAACGCAGCCAAAAAGTACACAGGAAACCCATGCTGCCTTGTACACATAAGCAAACCTATGTAGAGTTTATTTTTTCCTTTTCAGTTCGGATACTATGTTTATGTAGGCGATAGACAGCTAGGCAGTTACTAGGTTTTGGAACAGAGCCACGGTTTCTCATACATACACAGCAGAACAGACAAGTTAAAACTGCATTACCACACCACATATTCTTACTAAAACCACATATTGCTTGTCTGTGTGTATTTGTGGGGTTAGGGAGGGTTGAGAGGGGAGAGAGTTTTCTGAGGAGTGGAAATCAGCCAGGTGCTTCCTGCCAGCTGGGAGTGGCTGATGGGTATGTTGGAGGTGACACACTGTTGCGGTCTGACACGGCCTAGCAGATGTGAGCCTGTAATCTGTGGGAATGTGAATGGTGGCCTCCATCACTGGAGCTGCTCTGCAGGCTGTAGTGGTCCTCACCATCGCTAACACTGTCCACGCTATCACCCTCACCTGGTGTGAACTCCATGCCCTCTATGTCAACGTCCACTTCTGTATACACACAGAAATAAAAACTCATTAATAGTGATTTTTACACCTCAACCAATGATCTCAAGAATAAAGGAATATTCTAGGTTATGTTAAACCTAATTTCTATGGATGGAAACTCTGAGATACTGTCAGTAACCACAGACTGATTTTGACTTGTATAAATGAGTGGGCGATACAAGTGGTATGGTTATGCTTATGAAAAACTGAGCTTATGTTAATTTTTTTTTTCCAGCGCTGCCCCGCTTACCTTACTGGTAACCACTGTACATGTATATGCTGTGAGACCACTTCCTGTTTGTACATATTGAGGGGTGAGGAGCTGAATTATCAGTGGTAATCAACAGCATATACATATATACAGGCTGTTAATACTGCACCTGAATGCAATACAAATCTGATTTTCTGCTCACTTGCTTAATTTGCCAAGCTCAACTTTTAATCATAAAAAAAAAAAAAAATGTATGTATATATA